TCCCGCATTGTCCATTTTCGTGGACAATCTGAGCGTCAGTAAGGGAGACATTACTGTATTACGCTGGACCACCCTGTACACGAGAACAATAAGAATCCGGTTTCAGCAGCCGCTTCTACATGGTGTCCCAAAAATGTCTCGCAATCCGAGAATGGGAGGTTCCTGAGGTAATTTGAAGCAAGTTTGTCCTTGGCGAAAATGCAATCCACGGCTTCGTTTACGAGTTATTAACGAAAAAGAGTGACCAATGAGAGGTGAGGTATGCTGGCGCAAGGCGGCCGAGCCAATGAGCGGAACTGGGCTTCGCGCGCTCATTGGCTCGGCCGCCAAGCGCTAGGCGAGCTCGCCTTTCATTGGTCAGCGTTTTTCGTTAATAATTCGTAAACGAAGCAACGAGTTGCATTTTCGCTAAGGAAAAAGTCACTTCAAATGATTCCAGGAACTTCTCATTTCCGGTTTGCGAGACATTTTTGGGACACCCTGTATAATGCAGCGTGTCGGAGTTTCGTATAGACAATCCGCGATATTGCCAATTTGTTTCATGGAAATGACTTTCTGCGGCCGCGATTCATGATCGTTCGATCGCGAATTAATGAAATTTACTTACGCTCCAATTTTTCGGGCACAATGTTCGCTGATTGGTCGTGCGATAGCCGGGAAGCCTTCCGTTTTACTAACAGCGGCCGCCACGTCAGGTAAAAGTTATTAAACAGAGGAAACTCTTTCGCGGGAGCTGCTCGTTCCGCACCTGCGTACGTTGCCAATTTGACCTGAATTTCGCCTGTTCACCGATTCCTACGCGAATCTGTAGAATTTTGTTGCGTGCAACAATATTTCGAACCGCGCGTACAACAGTCGCCGACGTTGCAACGAATCGAGGTCGTCGAACGCATTATTTATCTAGACAAACGCAGCGAGCACCGACGTTGTTTGAATATTCGCCGATACCAAATTGTTTAAAACAATAATTCCGATAGAAACGATCGTATTACGTTGCACGGAGTACTTCGACGTGTCTCGCGACTATAAAATTTATTATAACGATCCTCGCCAGCGAATCGCAAACAACGATAAACATGAGAAAATACGCGGAGCTAATTTTTCATTTTAATTCTGTGTTTATCATTAGTTTCTTTTTTCAAAATGCTCGTTCGCATCGACGCATCGGATGTCCGAAAGTAACGCATCGAGTTCTTACAATTCGCTTTACCGTTCAATCGACTCGGAAAAATGCTCGCACGGTCGTCGAAAGTGTATAAAAGAGTGGATTGGTCAGTTTGAGGAAAAACCCATGGAAACATAAGTGACAAGAACGCTGTGGTGACGCCATAGCTGCCATGCCAGGGTTAAGATGAAGAGTTAGCTTACGGAAGATACGCCACACCACACCGACGTGGCTAACAGCCAAATCTCCGGGGATTTGCGGCAAGTTCATTAAGTGTTGTTACCCCTATCCGAAACGTAGAAATTGCCACTGTATCACCTGCGATCATTTACTCGCCAAACACAAATATTAATGTTCTCCGCAGTGCCAGCATCTCAACATCAATCTTTGGAATTTTCAATCTCGCCGAAAGTCGCGTCGCTTTCGTCCAAACAGAATGCTGGAGATTTTCGATTTTTCGAAACGATTTCGAAATTTCCTTGAAACAAGAATTACTCTATGTTATAGCGGGATCTTCGAGCTTTAATTTGAGGCCAGCTGCGTTCGATAACTTCCACGGGAAATCAAATCAAGAACACTTAGAACGTTCCCTTGAAAACCGTGTCATCTTCGTCCAAATAAAGAGTTGGTAATTTTGGCATCTCCAAAATCATTTCGACGTTTCTTTGAAACTGAAATTATCCTATCCTAAGATGCGCTTTCCGAGCTTTAATTTGCAGCCAGTAACGTCCAATAATTTCCAAGGGCGGGTAATTTACGATGGAAACGATTTTAACATCTCTTTTCAACAAAATTACCCTATCTTCAAGCGGACCCTTCAAACATCAATTTGAGGCCAGCAACGTTCAAAAATACCCACGGAAATACAACTTTTAAAGCGATTCGAAGTTTTCCTCAAGAAGTAACGTTCTACTTCGTTCGCGTCTACTTGCAATTAACTCGGAGAATTTTTACTTCGCATAAATATTCGCGGTCTATCATTCATAATATACACGTCAAATGTAATATATCCTCTTATAAAATATACGAAAGCGTTATTTTGAGCAGCGAAGAATATTATCCATTGCAATCAATACGTTTCACGGTTGTTCGGCCGCGAAGTCGTAAAGTCTCTCGATACATTATTACGAGTTGCAATTTTAAATAACGACGCGCGCGTTAAATTCATTTCAATTCCCTTATGGAGTGCATAAAATCGTTGCGCGCGTGCAACGGCTGACGACGAGCAAATTTCTCGGATGCCCTCTAATGCTATATTTTAACCCTTTACACTCGAAGCTATTTTAACTGTAAATCTAAAATAATTTCTCTGACTTACAGTATTTTCATTTTATACGACAAAGTGCATTTTGTGCATGCGAAATTGAGTCTCGCGACTTACAGAAGGGTTACACATTTTTAACAATTTAAAAAAATGTAAACTTTGTTAATGTAGAAATTATCTTAGAACGTGATGCAACAAATTTTAGTGGTGCCATTTGAGTCACCAGTCGAGTGCAAAGGGTTAACAGAACCTAATTAAACAGCAGGAGAAATGATTCAAAGACTTCATCGTTTACCAGCCGAGGAAGCGGCGCAAAGAATAAATTCTACGTTAATTTAGACCGGCGTTTTCTACGTTACCCTCGTTTACAGAATCTTTTCGACAGGATTCCCGAGTTAGCCGCCGCGACGAACAGATCTACGAATACATTTCTGTTAATCCCTAGATTTCAGCAGGAGCATTAACAGGAACACCGGTCCCGTGTCTGTACAAACAACACGTCACGTAGCGGACCGAGGAAAAAAAATGATTATCCCCGCGATGAACGAAGTTTAATTTGCCAAAGTTTGCAGCGTCACGGGAAGGATGTTCGCTATATTGCCAGAATCCATTTGGAATCGTTCAGGGGGTCGCAGCGTGCCAGCGAATGCATTCTGGACAATGGAGTTCACGTTTACTTGAATCGCCTGGAACTGCCGATTATGCCAGCCTCTTCTTTTTTTTTTAACCGTCTCGTATTATGGAAACCCGAATCGCCCTGTATTTTTTTCGCGTGCCGCGCTGTTACAACCAATTTGCCGGCGGTTTTCTCTTTATCAATTATCTTCCACGTTTCCAGGTATGCAGAACGTTTCGCGAGTTTTTCTGCGGCGCCGCTTCGAAAATCGACGGCGGCAATTCAATTTTTTTGCTGTGAGATTAAACCGCGCGCGGTTCGTTTAAACAACCAGAAATCTAAATTAAAAATCTCTGAACGATCTTGTCTTCGCGATTCGTATGCGTGGAGTTCACGGGACCGCGGAAAATACGGATTCTTAACCTACAACGCGGATTTGGAAAGTGCAATGGCTTAATCAATGCGTTCGATGTTTCAGTTTATTGAATCGGCGAAGGGAAATGTTCACGCCAAGTAAAATACTTTGCATCCGACGCAACGAGTAGAAGTGGCTTGAAGATCATTTTAACACGTTGAACGCCCAGCGTAAATCGGTAGAGTTTCTCCCGGCGCCAGAAGCAAAGAAAAATTTATTGTATTGTCCTGAGTGTCCAGAGTCACTGCAATTATGTTTACAATGTTTTAACGAATTCCATCGTAACTAATAAAATATTATAATATTATAGAAACAAATTTAAACAAAAGTATGATTTGTTAGTATAAGACTGCGAAAACATAGCCGTCACCCAGATATGGGTGACGTGGCGTTTAATGTGTTAACAGGTTGAGACTTTTAGTGACTTTAAATCTTAGTGACTGCGGATTTTATGCATTTATAGCGAAATTGCGTAGCTGCAATTTAACCCTTTGCAGTCGAAGCTATTTGAATTCGAAATCCAGAACATGATTTCTGATCTACAGAATTTCTATTTTATATAATTTATTGCGATTTATATATATATATATATATATATATATATATATATATATATATATATATATGTGTGAAATTGAGCCTGTTGGCAAGTACAATGCAATTTTAACAGTTTTTTGAAAATATAAACGAGTTAAATGCTCTTAGAATGATTTTGAAAAATAGTATACCAAATTTTTAGTGGCGCCTCAATGCCGCCACTCGAGTGCAAAGGGTTAAAGTAGTAGACGCATCGAGAGAATTAAGAAACATCAAAATGTATCATTTTCAACCCGTTAAAGTTATCGAAGAAAGAATGAACTTGCTATTTAGTTTATACCACTTGCAATTGATGAGACAATTTTTATTTCGCATAAAAATCCGCAGTCTATTTCTCAGGTTTTTAAATCTAATTCAATATTTATCAACGATGTGGCACAAGCATCTTGCTACCTCTTCATAATCAAACGCATCGCAAATTTCGACTTTCGCTACACATTTCAATAATTATATTTACATTTACTGGTTTCGAATTATATCGCAAAAAATATAAAAATTTTAAAAATACATAACAAAATTCGAATCGTCAAGAATGCATCGCATCCGCAGTCCGATTTTAAGCTTCGAGCGCGATCGTTTCGAATAATCCATGAGAATCGTGCATCTCCTTTCAAAAACACGAACGTAAAATAACGTATCACGTATCTAGAAATGTCATCCCGAGACGTCTCTGTGGAATTGATTAAACTAAGTACGTCGGCGCGAACGACGAATTTGTTGGCAAGCTTAAATAGAGGAGAGAAAATGAATCGCTGAACGGCGACGGAGTGCCTCAAAAATTCCGTGACGCGTTTGCGGGAGCGTTTTAAAATTCCGGCGAAGCTCGGCGAACTTTCCGTGTATTCGGACTCGGTTAATCGGGACCGCTTAATGCAATTTTATCCATAAAAGAAAGTACGGAAGAAAGCTTAGGATTAAGGAGCATCGTTGGAGGAGAAATTACCTTGTGGTTGGAAAGGTTCGCGACAACGCAAGCGAGCACCGCTTCTCTGCCCAATGGGACCGTCACGTTCGTTATTGGCACGGTAAAGCTCGGTCCCTCTGAAACACAAGAGCGTTATCTTCTAAATAGTCCGGTATAACGTGGGTTCATTAGACCTATATGTCTCCATTCCCATCGATAAAATCGATCTCCCTTCTTATTACGAAACGCGCTTCTTTTTTCTTTATTTTGTTGTTTGCCCGCGCAGCCTCGCTTAATGATCGCTCGATAGACAAATACCGTAGACTTTGTCCTCCAGCCACAGTTTATTTAACACGTTGATTGCCGTGTCAACCATATTTCGGCGGTGTGTTCGCCCAGGCTCGAAAATTCATTTTCACGCCGATGGCACGCAAAATTGAGGATCGAAAGAGCGATTAACAATTTGCGGATTTTATGGCGAAACAGGGAAGTGCTGGGAATGTCAGCTATTAAAATTATTACGAAACGATTTCCGCGATGATCGACAGTCTGGTAATAGTCATTTTTCGTGCTGCTGACTAACACGCGCTTCCGGATATTTTCGGTTTAGCGAACTCAACGTAGATTCTTTTACCAAGCATTATTAAATAAACATGCTTGTTCGTTGAAAATCTGAACGAAGACATTCTCGCGAATTCCAACGGCTGCATTTACTGCTCGCTCGGTGCTAACGTTTCCCTTTTTCCTTTCATCTTCGTTCTGGTTCCAATTAATAAATTATAAGATCCCCCTTTAATGTGTCCAGCGCGAGAATAAATTTCCTTCTTTCGCAGCTGGTAAATTATAACTCGTCCGACGGAAAGGAAGCCGGGCTTTATCATCCGATTCTATATTCGTTCGAACGCGAAGATAGTTTTAATGAAATTGCGTTAATTGGTCGAGCATTCCAATTTCCCCTTGTATCGTTCTAATGAAATAACGAATGAAACGATATCAAGCCGGCGAAGGGGCCGAACGGGGGATATTTATTAGAACGGCCGTGGGTGGCCCGGTCGAGAAGATTCAATAAAAGAACGTGTCTAGCCGAATTACAGGGCAAAGTTTCTAGGGAACACATTGTTCCCACTGCAAACACGTGACGCCTCACGTTCGCCGAGTAACTCATTCTCCGCACGCTGCTGCATCGACAGAGAGCGTTGGAGAATTTACTGGCACGAAACGGTCCCGGTTTTGTACAACTGCATACTGCAAACGCGTGCACCGTAAGCGCACGCGGTTTCCTAATATCGGCGCTGATAAAACGCGCTGATTTTCTGCGTGCCCGCGCGTCTCGTTATCTTCGAGTTAGAATCGAAGACTTTCGACTACCTAATCCTGGTTCACCGGTCGACGCGCATCTACGCAGATTGCTCGGCAAAGTAGGTCCTTAAGGAACATGCAGGTGCATCGCCGAGCGTCCTGTCTAAATCGAAAAATCGATGAAAACGACGCTTCGATGCACTTTTCTGCATTTCGCAAAGTCCCTTGGTTTTCTAGACGATGGCGCGAATAACTATGGGAACAAAGGAACTTTTATATGTTTAGCGATATTTAAAGAAAAATTTAACAAAACATCGTATTTGTATATTTTTATATCAGCGATAATAGAAAATAGAAATGTACAAATATTGTTCTCTTTTTTGGTTCTCGTTTAGATATCAGTAAAAATGTAACAGTATTTCACGACTCAACGGAAGACTTCTTTATTTTAATTTCTGATTAACGATCAACGATTGTAACTCGTTGATTATTACAAGCAATTTGTAATAATTGAGCAAAAAATAATATGAATAGTGATTAACGATTATAACTTATTGATCGTTACTCATATTATTTTTTGGCTAACGATTATAACTCGTTAGTTATTATAAATTGTTATAAATTATGACAGTATACAAAATTGTCTTTTTCTATTTGACTTAAATGCCTCTAACATCGGCTGCACCTGTGAACTGTTTTCCAAATTTATCGTAGCTTTTAGGACGGCTTTCGGTCGAAGAGCCTGGATTTTTGGAAAAATTGAGATTCCCAAAATTGACTACGACAAGTACTAGCTTCGTTCGCGTACCTATTCCAAAGGGATATTTTATTTTTATTGACTACGACAAAAATTGAAAGACATAGTTTGGCAAAGAATTAAAAGACTAATAATCAAAACGTTCATTTATATATTTATTTATTAATGCTTTAATCCAGATCAGCAATATAAAAAGCCCAACAACGAAATAAAAGTCAAGCACAGAAAATGATATATTAACGTTCTTCTCGTAATTTACGTATTCGTTTATGTCAGAAGCGAATAAAATTGATCTATCCATCGTTATTAATATCCTTTTGCATTAGTAGTCGAAACGGGCACCCAACGGAAGATACGCAATTTTCGATCGCATAAAATATTTTTCGTGTACCTACTACAGCTACAGCTGATTGCATGAAATCGTCCAGTGTGAAGGAAATGGGGTAAGCTCCATTAGCGAGCTCCAAAGTTCAATATGTACTCATGAATATCAATCAATTCAATATCTACGATTCGTTTCATTCAGTTCGATTAATACTCATAAAAGGGAAAACGGTTCATCACACGCGTATTTGCAAAGTAGTTGGTATCATTAAGTTCTCTCGCGGTTATGGAGATGATCAAAATTCTACTGTAATTAGCATTTCCAGTAGAATCTATATCTATTCTTTGCAATTACATCGTTTCACGTAACACGGTGCTGGTTGATTACGGACTTCAAACACATTCGGTGCATTAAATTTTTTCATAACGAACGTAGGATATTTTTCGTCTCAAATTTTCTGCGTTCAATTCTGCAAGACCTCGTCCAAATTTTTCCCCGCCGATAAAGTATTTAAAACGCTATGTTTCGCTATTGTAAACATTGGACGAACATTTATTTAACGAACAATTCATCGTAATTAAGTAATTTTATATCCACACCCCTCTCCTCCGGAAAGTTGCTTCGTTGATCCTCGAACGACGAACTATTATCACAAGTGTACTATTGAGGATGTTTATAACAATTCGGAGCTTTACTCGGCAATTTGTCGAAACAGATTTCAGAAGATATTTCTTGGGAACTCGTCAGCTTTCTATCGTTTCCAATGTAACAATTTCTTTTTTATTTAATTGCCGAAAATTGAGCGATTAAGTGAACGATGTAAAGAATCTGTCTCAAAATTGACCCAGCCACCGTCGTGCGAGGGTTAATGATCGAATGCCACGATCACTGAAAATCGGCATTTTTATAAATCCGTGCGGTTCGTAAATTATCGGAATGCGGATTTTATGGAATAATAAAAATAGGTGTACAAGTGTATAAGGTGTATAAATTCCGATTCTGCCGGTGGGAACTGGTTCAACAAATTGTTACTCTGCTCGACGTTCCGCGGTTTCCTAATAAGGGATGATTCGCTGTGAATTTCAGTCGCGAATCCGAGCACAGACTGCGTTAGCGGATGAGCAGGATAGAAAAATGGCCGCAGCGATTTTCGCGGTGACTACGTTTGAAGCGGAACCGCGTGTTACCGGGGAAATACGGATATTATAATTAAATCGGATTATTGGAGCTAGTTAACGAGTCGACGGTAAAACGCTTTGAGGTTGTTACGTTAAGTAGGCATGTACGAATCGCGCAAAGGCGATGAGGTGGCAAAACGGGGATGTTGGCAAGGGAGTTGAAACCCGGTGTGCGCCAACAGATAAGCACTGATCCCAATTACACGTTGGGTAGACCAGTTCCCTGGCTGAACGGATCATGGATTATTGACTCCATCTTGATTACTTGGCTCCCGTCAATACAATTGAGAGATCGATACACCCTGAATTTCCCGCACTTGACCTCCACGCGCGCCACGTTGCACTCATATCTTCGGAATATTTATCTTTCTCGCAGCCATTAAACACTTCGTCGGCTACGCGTGCCGGAACAATGACAAAAATCGCTTCCCTAAACAGAGATCCTCGTTAAACAGTCTTGAAAAATAGTTTCTCCATTTTGACGAGTGCATAAAAGAAACCAATAAAAAATGACTTTTTTTACGAAGTCTGCTAACATTTGATTCTGTTTTTAAAGCTTTTATCACCTTTCGGTAAGCTCTTCCCTGAACTTCTTCTCGTTTCCTGAATTCTGAAAAATTCTTTAAAAATTTGTCCACGCGTAAAGAGTATTTGCAACGTCGTTTTGTTTAGAATGCGATTCTGTTCCTGCGCGTGCCACACATATTTTTTTTAAGGTCAAGTGAAATATAGTCGTTCTTTTACGATATTTATCTTTAATATGTTTTCCGACGCGCAATTTCGAGATTGCAGGCCGCGCGTGCTTTTTAAGCTTTGAATTTTTGAAGGGGATGTTAAATTTTGCGCGAAGGTCAACATTTTCGGGAGACCCCAGATGCCGCGCTTATGGCGTCCGTTCGATATGGCGGATCCGCCCGGGGCTGACGATATTCTTGTTTCGTATGGATTTATTGATGTATCTTCGCTGCTTATCATAGTGTTCTGAATCGGTAATGAACAGGGCGACTATGTGTGCTGCAATATGCAGTAATGTTACCGTGTAGCATAAATCTCGTATGCATTGGGTTTCTTAAGTATCGGAAAATACTTCGCAGCCACGTGCCTCGTAAGCAGTATTTTATACATCCTCGCTAACTTTCCGCGCGTAACCGACTGCCACATGTCTGACAACGTCTGTCTGCTTTGCCTCAAACTTACCGAACTAATCCCGAGTTAATTACACTAACGCGAAAAATGCAATTTTAAATGTGCCGGAACATATAAAAAGCGGGATCCGCGGAGCGTTTTAAACTGTACGACAGAAAGTATTTTAATTTAATTTTTACCGCAAGGTATTAACCTGAAAGAAAGTTCTTTACTTCCGAATCTCGTGAAACAGTCCACGGAAAAGGAAAAATTCGCAAGTGGTTCGTAATGTGAAAAGACGCAATCGCGTTGGATCATCGATGTCGATACAACTTTTTCCGTCGGATCTGAAGCAAAGCAAGCCGGCCATTTGCAGTTTTTGTCGATATTATTTCAATTTTATACGAGAAGACATTTTACGTTTAATTCCTATGGTTTCCACGAATCCTGGAT